TGCATCTACTGATCGTTCAAAAGCATTTCTATCTTTCTTGTAGTGCCTGGAATTCAACTATTAAGAAAATCAACCGGAGATTTCTCGGTTCCACCACTTGGTCTCGAATTCACTTAGGTTTCCCAGGCTGGAGAGAAAGTATGAACATTGCTCAAAAAAAAGAAACTCTAAGTATAAAAAAAGAAGTGGAGATTCGACGCTACATCTCTGATCGAGAAAGAATCTTTTAAGACATCGTGAAGGTTAAGGCATCTTCCTTACCGAAAGCCTGCGATCAGTTGCGGATAGCCGAGGGTCGATTACATTGAGGCGTGCACTACGAGGATTTAGGAGCAAAGTAGCAAGGCAGCGAACTGTCGGTACGGGTCGTACGACTTCCTTCTTCGCCCTAATCAATAAGCATACGAGGAGCCAGAATGCATTGATTCCGAGGAGATGGGGTATAGCTTTGTCTTATATAGAATGGGGTGCCATGATTGGCAGGAAAAAGATCTCTTCTTTCCAGTAAGGCTCAGCTACTATGCGGTTATAAGGTGCTAGATTGCTCTGTGAAAGCGGAAAAGTCAAATAAGTATGCCTCAGAAGGTAGAACCGATAGGCTTTGGGCCCTTACTGATCAAATGGGTGCTCCTTAGTAAGGCGAAGTTTTTTCTTTGTCAAAGGAATCAACAACAGCAGTAGGCGCTCGATTTGATAGCCCTCTGCTAGGGTCCTCCATGTCTTCATGATAGGGCTCAATTCTGTGGTTAAGAATATTTCGAAATCGGTGGAATCCAACAAATCAAGAAGAGATAAGAGATATACCACAGATATTTTTTTAACCAGAGCTTTCCGTATTGGGGATTATCCCGCGCTAAATCAGCATGACGTTGTGCTTACGGCTCTATACCCCAACCCAACAAACTTTTCGAAGCGAAGTTCAGTCAAACAAGCAAGGGATTGAGCAAGACGCGCGAAAGCCGTTGCGCTAACGCGCATCCGTTTTCTTGCTGCTTCGAAAAGTTCGTTTCTCTCCTTTTCTTTCTTGCTTTCTTGTTGTCTTGAATTGTTATAGAACGGCGGCTTTCTGGTAGGATGAAGCCTTAGTGGATATAGCAAGTGTGCCGGGGATGCGGCTCGGGCGTAGTAGGTCTGGACGCCTAGCACGAAAGAGCCTTCTCTGGTAGCGGCACTATACCTTAGTATCTCTGACGCTTCCAGTCTATATAAGTAGTAGTTAGCAGAGGAGATCGCTATGATTCTGCCGCTTTCTTATTCAATTTCTAGTTATTCCCGGCTGGCATAGAAGTCTCTCTTAGGGCGAAGGCTCGATATAATTGAGGAGCGGTACTGGTAGGACAAGCTCTCAGGGAATAATCTATTTCTTTCTTATTTCTGCCCCCATGACGACTAGGAACAGGCAAATCAAAAATTTCACTTTGAATTTCGGACCTCAACATCCTGCTGCTCATGGTGTTTCGCGATTAGTATTGGAAATGAACGGAGAAGTGGTGGAACGTGCGGAACCACATATTGGATCACTCCAGTGCGGCACGAAGCCGCTGATGCCGAGTCGGCTCCTATGCCGCTAGCTATGCCCTGCTTGGTCCCCCGGCACGGTGGAGGTTCTGTAGCGCGTCATGAGCACCGGGCTAAGGGGAACAAGCAAGGGATTGCTCAACTAGCGCGAAAGCCGTTGCGCTAACGCGCAGTAGTTTGATTGCTGGTTGAGCAACTCAAGCGAACTTTAAACCTTACATAGGGACAGAAGGGAGAAGGTTGTGAAGGTGGCCTCGTTATCCACACCTCCGGTCGGATGAATGGAGGACCGACCGACCCGGGTTTCACGAGCGTTGGCGGGTTCTGGAGTGCCTGTCAAGGGCTCCCGCGCATACCCCGGGGTGATCATCACCACCTGCACCTCACATCTCGGCACAGTGGAACGTGTAACCCGCCTGCTGTTCCATTCAACTACATTTGTTCCTGTAATCCATAGCCTAACAGAACGCAGCAGCGAGGGACAACCCGCCCATACAGCCAGCGGGGAGGATGGCACTACTGGCAAAGACCGTCTGGCGAAAACGCCGCAGGCGCGAAGCATGGTAGGCCTGCGCCGGGGGAGCATAGCATAGGGAGGAAAGGGAGCCCGGACGGTAGAAGAGCCAGGGGAGGCCGGGTCATTTGACGGAAATGGAAGGCTTTTCCCTACTACTTATGACTGAATTTCGCTTCGTTCGATTACATTGACCTATGGTTTTTGACTGAACTTCGCTTCGCTTCTAAAGTATGCATGAATGATTGGGGGAGCCTATATATATAAATCTCAAATGCAATAAAGCAAATTCAATGAATAGATAGGTACAACAGACAGCGCTGCCTACACGCGAATTAGCTTCCGAACAAGCAAGGGATTGCTCAACTAGCGCGAAAGCCGTTGCGCTAACGCGCAGTAGTTTGATTGCTGGTTGAGCAGTCTCAATTTCACTACAGGATTTGCGAATGAATGCCGGGCTGGGCCACCTCGAATGGCGTGAGCCGCATGCGGGGAGACCCGCACGTACGGTTTTTAGGGGGATCTGGTCGAAAGACCGGCCTAAGCCCACCCGACTAGGGGGACTGAGAAATTAATAGAGTACAAAACTTATCTTCAAGCTTTACCTTATTCTGATCGTTCAGAGGGCGATCGCGGGGTCACTGAATGAAGTCCTCCCTTTCTTTCGGAGGGCCCGCAGCGAGGCAGAGATGACTAAGTGACATATGGAATATGGCGACGACAACAGCATGTCGTAGAAGGAGATAACAGGTGGAGCCAACGACCCACTATAACCTATCTACAACTACATCCCCGAGCGGCAGTCAAACGGGGTCGTGAATGCGAGATGCCAGCGGAATGATCGGCCGGACAGAGGCTAGGGCTGCTTCCTTCCCACCGCGTCCTTCCTTGTGTGTCGGAGATATAAAGCGAGTGCACCGGAAAAGAACGGGAACTGGGTCGATCTATTCTATGGCGAAGCATCCGAAGCATAACTGCACACTCACACGATCTTTGCCGAGAGATAGGAGCATTCGGTGAAACCGGTGAACTACACTTGCTTCTGGATAGATGTG